GAACTTTCTAAACCCTTGTAAGACCATAAATGATGTTTCAGCCTTCCCTTTCTTTCCGTTCCCTTCCCTTCCCTGGAAGAAATACTTGTTGCAACTATATCCCTTTAAGACAGAACAACAAACTCTAAAATAAATTGTCAGGAGAGATCAAAGACTGAATCAGGAGTGTAGGAAATGCTATGTCATGTCCTGTAAATAATGAGCATTTCTTTAGCATGTTGCTAAATTAAGCTAGGACCTACTATTTTGGATAAATCATGAGAGGCCTTATAGGTGCTGGTTTTACATGCTTGAAGAAAAATAAAAAAAAGAAGGAAAGAGTGAAACAAACATAAAATTCATCATCTCCTGTTAGCCGTAGATTATTTTTCACAATCTGTTATTTAATCAGTTGTTGGGACTAATCAGACCCCATAACAGATATTGGCAGGGATGAAAAAAAATTCTACAGACAGGGAAAGAAGGTACTTGTCAGCACAGAGATGACATCTATAAACCAGATACGGGTAGCAATGAAATCTGGTTGGCTGTACAACTCTATTGAGGAAAAAAAAAAAAAAAAAAAAAAGGAGCAATCATACTGCAGACCTCTCATTTCTTCTTGTCACCCAGAATTTTCTGGAGTGTTGCAGTTGCTTTTCTTCAACACGTTGCTTTCAGGTGTCACATCTTTAGAAGGTCAGCTGCTTTTCTGTAGATTACTTCCAAACACACAGTGCTGTAGCAGCCGTCCTGAGTAACAGTGAATGAGTTATTCTCTGCCTTTCCCCAGACTGAGGCATGTTATGAAATACAGGATTTTTAAACACCCAGAAAGGACTCAAGTGGCAGCCCCAGGAAGATTTATTGTGGACTGAGAGCAGACGTTGCCTCCTTGAAAGCTTTTGTCTCTTTCCCCATATTTACCTCTATTTGCTCTATTTGTGTCTGCTCTGTTTGCCAGGCACCCTGACAAGTCTGAGGGCTGTAAGTGGGCATCACCACTGTGTGTTACACAACCAAGGGCTGGTAGACATTGCTGTTAGTCACGTTCCTGAGAAGGAAAGCTTATGATATAGACCCCTCGCATGCCTCAGTGCTCTGCTAAATAGAGCTGTGTGCCAGAATTAAGGCATTATGTGGCAGTAGCTTGCCCTTTAATGTTTTTCCATACTTGAATGCCACATAGATCTGTCCTGGGATGGGCACCAGGAGAGTTTCTGCAGTTGTTTCAGAAGCGTAGTGGGTCATTACAGCACAGAGCTTGTAAGAAATTGAGATGTGTTTCATGTCTGGCTGCACCATTAGCTGTGTGATGTGTGGGCCACTGTCCCTGTGAATAAGAATTGTGGTGGGGGAGAAGGTTCCCATCTGACAATAGACTCTTATTGAAATTGAGATATCATTGAACTAGCTAAAAATAATATTTCTTTTAGCACAGTAAAACAGTACATTAGCTGGTGAAAGACAAAAAGGAGGGCTACTGGCATGCATTCCTATGAGTCAGTGACAATATCCACCTAGTAACAGAGGGAGCTCCCTCCTTCTCTCTCTCCATCTTCCCCCCTACCCCAAAAAAGTGTCTGGATCTGCACATCATCTACATTTTCTCAGCAGAAGCAAATCTTCTCAGAGTACGAAAAGAGATTATGTGTTTTGCTAAAGTTAAAAAAATATGAAAAATGAATGAAGAAATAATTCAATGCATTTCTATTTGGTTAAACAATTCTAATTAAGAATATATATATATATTTGTTTGAATCCTCATGATTTAAGCCTGCTTTTCCAAGAAAGCGAGCGTATATGATCCTGTTGTGTCGTGCTCTTGCTTCCAATGGCTTCTGAAATTGTTCCACAATTAACCAAGACTTACATGGAATAAGAGACCTCAAAGTTGATGAAAGTCCTACCTGTTTGGTGAAAGTTGGTTCAAGAGGAAAACAAATGTCCTTGTTTCTATGAAGGAAAAACCATAACATTGTTGATTGACCTGATGGCCTTTCTTTCTCTAAGCCAATTCAGATCTGAGGGGAAGTGCTAAGGCTGGCTTTCTAAAGAAGGAAAAAGTTAAGAACTTGTTGGCACAGACAGGAAGGGGCTTCAGTCATATGCAAAATTGGGAGTATTCTGGTGATTATTCCTGTTATTCCTGCTTTACAATGGATTCCGTGGAGATTAATTGAGTTCTGTTTTCCAGAAAAATTCCTTGTATCCTCTGCAGAATGATTTTCATCCCTAGTGCTTGTGCGCCACACTGTGGTAGTGCTGTACAAACAATGAAACAATCAGCATGTGTAGCAGTATGATTAATTTATGAGTATGATTTTTCTGTTAAACCGTCTCATTTCCTAGCTACCATTGACAAGTTCCCCTTCCATTGTCCCCTCTTAACTCTCTAGTTTCAGTTCAGATCTCTCAGCTCTTCAGCTCAGAGCTCTGTTTTTACCTTCAAAGGAGTTTCTTAGCTGCTTCCTTAAGTAGACAGAGGGAAGGCTTGGTAAACCTCACTCCTCTCTTGAGCACCTGGAAGCAGGGGAAGTGAGAATATTGAAGGCAGGTGAGTGCAAGAAGTGGCAGGTTCTGTTTTTTCTCACCTGCATTGCTCTATGAGCTGCTCTTGCAGATTGGTACTTTCTGCTTGGCTGCTGAGCTCTGGCCCAAGGTAGGACCTGGTCTGCCAGAGGCTTGCAGTGACAGCTTGGTGAGATGCTTCTTCAGTTATTATGTGCAGAGAGGAACAGGGGAGGAGATTAAAAACCAAACAAACAATTGTACTAAAATCAGTGTTGACTGCACCTGTCTACAAAATAACACCACAGGAATTGCCGTGCCCTATTAGACCACTGGTCCATTGAGTCTTGTGTCCTATCTTAAATTCTGACCAACACCAGATGTTTCAAAGCATGAAACAAGGCACTCTGCAGCAGGCAGCAATAATAACAGAAGGTGTGTCTATTAATAAACACTTGTGTATTCTTCTGATATTTCCTTTTTTTAAAAAAAAAATATATGGTTACTGTTTTCTCTTGGATACTTAACTCATTAAATGAAGTCCAGAGCACATTCCTTACATTCCTTTCTTCAAACCTTTCCTCTGCGTCAAAACAAAAACAAAAACAAAAACAAAACAAACAAACAAAAAAACACACACACACAAAAAAAAAACCACCACCAAACTTGGTCTCTCTTACAGCAATAGCAGTTTTCCAGTCATCTTTGTTATGCAGTTGAAGGATTCACTTGCAGGGAGAAATATGTGTTCTCTTAATAGTAGATTATTTCTGTAGGGATTGGAAGCTGAGGGAATTCATCTGCAGTTATATCTGCTCTTTGGCTGAGTGCAGTAACTTTTCAGGCAGGTCATGTACTCTGTTCCACTGCTATCTGCTGTTTTGCTGTATATTTTCCTGCATTTTGCATTATCATTTGTTAAATATATTCCAACCTGTAATTTATCTTAGTCAGCAGATTTAGGACCTTTGTATCTCTCTGCACACCTAGGGAATTCAGAAATAAATCTCTGCTCCTAGGGTTGTTTTCAATGCAACAAATGTTTTAGAGGAAGTCAAGAGGGGCTTGGTCAATATCGTCTGGACTCTCTTGTGCAATAAAACATTTTCCTCATGCTTTCCCAGGTGGCAGAAAAACCCTGAATCAATTCAATGTTCTGCACTTGCTATTTTTTAATTTTTAATATGTATATATTTTTACGGAATTCTAGCTCTGCTGGTTAAATTTCATGTGCTGGAGATAATGCAAGCAGTAGTCAGAATTCTTTCTCTACTGCTTATATGTTGATTCTTGTTGGCATGTTTTACACAAAAATACTTTTTCTGAAGTGTTTTGTAGGTAAGTTAATGCAGAATGAGCTAAAAGAACAAGGAACTGTATGCAGTTCAAGTTTGTTAGGCAGAGTTTAAGAGATACTCAGAAAACAGAACATGGTTTTAATCAGATGTTTCCTAAACTGCACTGACTTACTGAGGTGGAAACTTCATTAAAATAAGAAAACATGTCTTTTCCTTTAAACCTGTCAAAAATAAGGTTCTTTGAAGAGAGGAAATATGTACATACAGATTTAGGCCTCCCTCCTGCAGCCATTTAAACAAGCAAACAACATTATGCATCTGAGTCTGTTCTTACGGCTCTGAGGAGATGGAGACCCTGCTCCCAGTGAGGTGAGCTGCCCTGCTATGCTTGTCTGCCATACTTAGGCAGTCACCTAACTACGGCCAATTCTTTCCTCTGAGTGATAATGTAAATTGGCTGTGCTGGTACTTGGTTGAAAGACCCATGCCTCTGCACTTTTCTGGACAAAAACTAGAGCTCCCAGCACTGGCAAGCTTGTATTGTCACCCCTAAGCACGGTTGCTAAACACAGCACTTTTTGGATCCTTGACTGCAAACACTCTGGAGCAATGTCTGCTTGCCCATCAAATTCATTTATTACTCTCAGCAGGATGCATCCTCCACAGTGATAGGAGCCCCTGAGCACTCAAGTAATATGTGTAATAAAAAATCAGAGTAAAAAATTGTCATGAAACTTGAGTAAAATTGATTCAAATGGGAGGCAATTGTCACAACTTAGTTCAAAAACAAAAGCTGTGTTTTTTAACAGTGCTGTAGCTGTAATACTTCATTATTGCAATCAAGTTCCTGTCAAGTGCTGAGAAAGATTGGGAGCTCACAGGGACCCCTCTTGATAAAGAAGTAACATTCACCTTTGTTTGTAAAATTAGTCTACGGGTTTAACAAATTATAAATAATTGGTGAAATGAAAAATGATTGACTAACACATTCAAGGGACAGTTTTTGTATTAGCAGACTGATCTGGTGTATGTTCACAGGAATTCTCTGCCATGTTATTTAGCAGTGGGGATTAGAAATATAATGCTTTTTTTTTTTTTTTTTTTTTTTTTTTTAATTTGGAGACAATTAAGACCAGGATATGGAGGGACTGTTGCAATGGAGTGACTCATGCCATACTTATTGGGGTACAATAAGATTACTTTGATTTCTGAAGCAAAGCTTAATCTCCAGACTACTTACTTTTAAATAACTGCAGACTATATAAGAATTGGGATAATCGGATTCTAGAGATTTTTCTCTGTTACTGAACCAACAAAAAGCTGACACATCTATTTGCTGTGTCTGAACAAAATGAAGAAAAACCAACAGCCTAGAGAAAATGACTTAGGTTTACAAATACAATTGATGTTTGCATGTGCATGTTTATATTCTCAGCGTGCTGTTTGAGGTACTCCTAGCAGTGGTAAGTGAAGTTATTTTCAGATGAGGCAGGGGGCAGATATTTGCAGTTTCTGCTTCTTTATCACTCCATCAAAAGTGCAGTCCTGATATGTACCTTTAAAAGAAAGGAGATATTATCTTACCAATGAGTCTATCATTGCCTATTCATTATGTTATGATACTGCTCTGTGTTGCAAATGTAAATTTGCAATGGCATGCCTCTGCCTCTAGCTGGACAGACCTGCCTTTCTTCAAAGCTGTTTCCTCTTCAGATATCCACAAATCTTCCAGAAAGTCTTCTCTTTGCCTTATTGACCTAACAGTCACCATCTTAAAAATGCTTTGCTGGAAAGTGCAGTTGCTTAAATATCTATGCAAGAGAACACAGCTGGAAACAAAAAAAAAAAAAAGTGTCTATGCGTTTCAGGTTTTTTAGTTTTATTGAGTTAAACAAATTTTCACATGCAGTTGTTTGCATGTGTGCCTCTAGTACTAATAAATAAATAAAGTCCTCATCTCAAAAACAGATTTTGCCCAGAATTAGGTAGCCACAGAAATAAAAAAAACAGTAGGAAAAATATTCCTTAATTTTGAAAATAGGAGGGAGGATGTGTGATGCAGTCTTTCTGCCTTTTTTCACTCACCTTCTCTTTGGGGGATATTTGTCCTTCACCAAACATCAGGTACAGTAAGAGACTGTCAAGAAAGAAGAGGTCATTTCTGGTCAGAGGAATGTTTTATAGAGATGTGAGGGCTACATATATGAATGGGGTGAGAGGGAGAGCATGAGAAAATTTCTCCTTGCTATACCACCTTGCTATAATTACAGCAAGAAAGGAAGCTGATCTTGGCCTAGAAGCAGGGACAGGGGAAGAGCAGGGAGACTAGGGCAAAGTGTTTTAGTAATTGCAAAGGAAGGAATAGCAGTAGGAATAATGAGAAATGATCTGCTGTACAACCCACAAATAAGTACAGAGTTAGCTGCAGGGAAAGGAGGCTCCAGAGATGATGACATAGAAGTAAATCATAAAGCAGTATGTTTAAAGGATTAAAGAAGAAATGCAGTTAAAAAGTCAGATATTTGTTTTGTATTTTCAGGTAGATTTCAGTTCAAATGCATTTCATTTAAATATTCACATTTTTAAGGATCAATGACGAAGCTCTTTGCAATGTCCTTCTGAGATGGGAGTTTTGTGATGTTTCCTAGGAAGCATAGGGATTTTCAGAAGTTAGTTTTGCCTATTTCCAGATTGATCTTTCAGGAGAACCTAAAGCATTTCAAGGAATCAGTAGAGTATCCAATGGCATGCGGTTTGAATTCTCTGGAGATCCAGACACCATTTATTGAAGAAGTAATGGCTGGACACTGAACATTTTTGAAAGTCTGTCCCACAGTGTAGGCACAAGTATATGAAAATAATTTCCTGAGCAAAAAAATCCCCCTCCCCCTCTTTTTTTTTTTCCCCTCTTGAGATTTCTATTTTTGACTTCTGTTCAGATTTATTGAAATAAAAGTATCTAAAAAAATATCATCAGTTTCTTCTAGTTACTTCTGATGAGGGCATTGTCACTAGGGAGTATTACTGCATACTTCAACCCACATCCTACCGGAAATAGGATATCTAATGAAAAATGAATTCAGTGTGATCTCACAAAAAATCACAACACTCCCTGGTAACCTCTGAACACATCAATTAGATTTAGTGGAACTGGGGATGGTTTGAAATCACATGAGAGTGGTTCAGTGCTCTTAAAGACCGTATCAGCAAAATAGGTTGATAGAACAACTAAAAGCTATAAGTTACGGTAGAGTTGGGGTAACTTCACTTAATAAAATTCCTTATTTGTCTTACTGTGACTTTGATCCTAAACATAGAGGAGCTAAGGTAAAGCAATTTACTTATCCAATTTCTCAGTGAAAAAAAGGCACGAGAAAAATACTGAAATTCAAAAACTAAAAATGTAGGGAGCTCATGACTGTTTGCATCCAGCTGTGAGCCATTACTCACATGAGTAGTCACACTGATTGCTGTGGATCTATTTGTGGAAGCTGGAGCTTACGCCTGGGAGAAGAGCCAGCAAAAGGTATAGGAAGCATAGGCATCTGTTTCGGGAGGCAGGCTGTAGCAGAGAAGTGCTGTTCTGCCTATGTTGGAGGACATGTAGGTCAACACGGGTGTACTCCTACAGTCCTACTGTCTGGTAGCACCAACGTGCACTAGGTAGGGTGGTAGCTATTGCTTTATTGCCTGAAGCCTCTGCTCTGCACTGCCTGTCTGCCCCAGGGAGGACAGAAGCGGTAAGCAAGGGACTGGGATAAGGTTATTGTGATCATGAGTAAGGGCAGATAAATTAAGTAACAAAAGATAAAGGTGAAATTCCCATAACAGGTCTATTGTCTGCTCTTCTGTTGTTTTTCTACCAATGTCTCTCTACTCCTTTCCCACTCTGTTCCCTTTCCTCCATACGGAGCCCAACTCTTTTATTCCTTCCTGCCTGCTGTGGATGTGTATCCCTCTCATTCACCCAGTAACACTATAACACCATCTCCATATGAATTCATTGCTGCCACTCAGCCTCAAAACATTATTCCATTGTCATTACCACGCAAATAGCCATTTGGAAATCATTGTTACCCTTCAGCAATTCCCATCACCATGCCATGCTCACTTGCTACAGATGACTCCTTCAAAGTCTGTTGCTTATGTTGCTATGTTGAATTTGCTGAAGAATCTTTGGAAGAACAAATCAGAGTTAGTAGCAGAGGAGACTTGAGTCTACTCACCTATGAAAGAAGATAGAGGAGGAGTTAAATTCAAATTCCAGCATTTAGGGATTCATAGGTGAAATGAGCTTACATGAATGCCTTGAACAGGCTGTGGCATAAAATTTGAAGATCTCTGCTAACAGCTCAAAGCCAAAAGAGTAAGTCACTATGTGTCAACCCCCCCTTCCTAACAACTGCACACCTATTCCAATTACAGAGATATTTCACCAGGGGCTGAAATACGGTGTGGAACCTAGTCCTCAGACTGTTTTTGTGGTGGCAGAAATTTATAGTCAGTGTGATAGATAAACAAACAAACAAAAAAACGCTATCCTTTATCCTTGTTATAGTTTCCTCCTTGTGTTTAGGACCTGGGAGTTGCTGTTGCTGTTAAATATGTTGTTGTGTGATGGGCAGCTATATGCATCTCAACTTTCACTTGACTGTAGAAAACGGGAAGGGTAACTGGCCTAACCTATTGTTTTTATTTATTTGTATGCTGCTTTTCCTATTAATGTTCTTAATATTACTTAAACACTAATTTGTTTTAGATGTAAGATTCAACTGAATCAGATCTAAAAGTGAAATAAAACCAGATACAGTTGGATGTTTTGGCTAGCTTCAGAGTGTCTCTGGGAAGACGATGACTCATTTTTAGGAAAATATCTTCATTCAATATAATACTTAGACAAATGTTTATGTTTATGTTTATGCTAAAATAAATACGGATTGGAGTAGGTGCCTCAGTGCTTTCATGGATCAGAAGGTAAGATCATAATATGTAGCTAATTTAAATTTCATTTCTTTTGTCTTTAAATGCTCCAAGTGTAGCTGTAGGAAATCAGACAGGTAAGCAATTCAGTTAATATACAATCTAATAATCTTGACATTCTTTGCTTTCACAAAAATTTTCATACACCATCTGAATTTTTCTTGTTTATTGCTAGTTTTTATTTCTCTGTCTACATGGTAAGATGTATCTAGTACTCTGTTCTGTTTTTAAGCTCCAGTTTGGCATTCAAGATGCTCAGTACTCTGTCCCAGCTGTAGAAACACTCAATGCTTTGGGGCAAGTTGGGGTTAGAGTCACAATGACATGTAGAACCATTGTTCACTTTTATTTTTGGAAGTGAAAAGTGCCTGGGAAATTTTAACTTCTGTACCAGAGGCTTGGCTCCTTAAAAAACATTACTTATCTTATTGGAGGCCTGTACAGTTATGAGCAACACTGCTCAGACACATGAGATCTATATGTGAGTGTGCCTCAGTATCTAATCCTGATAAGAATTTATCTCATTAACTGCATTGTGAGCACAAAAAAAAAGGTTTCCTTCCCTGTTTCACCTGTGCTGCCAAATCTGTGTCAGAGCAAATCTGCTTAATGCTTCCTTACAGAAAATATAGTATACTCTCGTTGTCTTATTTTCCATTACCACTAGGATAAAGAAGAATTCTGGCTTTTCCCTCTGGCTACCTCCCTCCTTTTTCTGATCCAAGACTAGTAAATTATTCAATACAAAATGAACTGTTTCTGGTATTGAAAGCAAGAGACTCCAATGACTCCTGAATACCTGTCACCTATTACTAGGACACTTTCCTCAGAAGATAGAGAATATGGGTTCAAATACTCTTGGTGACATTCTCCCTGTTTCTGTCTATAAACTTTAAAATGTCTGCAGATCTACCAGGCTGTGCATCTGCTGAGCCCAGCAATCCCAAAATATGTCAGATTTAATCTGTGTGGTATACAGTGACTCTAAAATATGCTGGACTCAGATCACATTTGCTCTAAATTGATCCCAAATCTACAGTGGCATTTGTCTGGCACTTTAGGTCATCCAGAACTCCTACTCAGATGGTCAAAATCCTCAGGTTCTGCTGAATGGAAAAAATAATTTGTCTGAACAAAACCTGGATAGTCCCATTCAAAGGGAAAGGTATTCTGGACATGCCAAAAACCTGACTTTTCACATGTGAGGAGTTAAGTATGAAGAGTACTCTAGAAGTCCATGCCACAGACTTTGGCAGCAAACCATGCATTCATTAAATACAGGAGAGCCATTACCACAGCCTGTACTTTGTGACAAACTGCAGATCTGCACACCTAAATCCTGAGATGGTGGAGAGACTGCTCATCCTAAGTAGATATCAGAGAGGTACCTCTCTGCAGCTCATCATAAAGCACCTGAACATCTTAGAACAGAATGAGACCAATTCCATAACTCTGTGTCTCTTTGCTTACTTAGGGTCGATGACCCTTCAAGTGACCTGAGGTTGGTGAACACCCACACATAGACATAGACATTGCAGCAATCTCCATTCATTCCTCATCATGAGCAAGGGATCACAGTAGACAGCAAAGTGTCTGAAGACTGGGAACTGCAATATGAGGTTGCAGCTGCAGTTTTATCTTGTGCCTTTCATCCCAAGGGGAGAGAGCCTACTTTTTCCTTCTTGATGCAAATCTTTGGTACCTGTCAGATGCTTCTGGGAGTTGTGCTTCATCTTTATGCTTTTGGCAAGGGAAGACTTTCAGACTTGGTCACCAAATGTCTTGTGCAGCTCTACTCTGAGGTTTCTGGTCTATGCACTGTAAATAAAAATGACTTTTCTTGATGGATGTATACACTAAAAGACGATGAGGAGCTCAGGTGTTCCAGTAATGGAGATGATTTAACAATTGTAGACAAATTTAGCTAGTATGCTGGGATTCTGGAGTGCAGTATCGTTAAGTTTTGCCCTGAACATTGATTATGGTAAGAGAGCCTCAGTGACAACAAGGATCTGCATTTGATGAACTGGAAATTTGTTACATACAGGCATTTACCTCATATGAATGTGTGTGCTCCTATTCGTGCCCTTGATTTTCACATAGCAATTTTTTTTTTTTCCCAGCCTTCACAAGTCACATGAAAACAAGACTGGATATTCTCATTAGTTTTAGACTGTATTTAAAAAATATATATTTAGCATTTGTCTAACTGCAGACTTACTATAAATTCTAGTGTTTCATTTTTATTTTTTTAATAACATGTTATAAACGATTTTTGCAATTTTACATACTGTTATATAGTGGCATTATGGTGGCTTTCTCTTTTTGGCTACTCTAACTATGGCCATGTTCTAGAAATCATTCTCCCACTCTATTATGCAACACAAGTCTGTTGAACCTCTGTATGGACTGTTTTACCACCTCAAGCTGCTTGCTGAACTTTCTTAACTTACACCTGGTAATTTCCATTCTGTTGTCACTGATTACTTTTTCGTATTCCTGAGGAGATATCATACTTGTGAATTCATGAAATATTTTTAATATTATTTTAAATGCTTTGTAAGTGTTGTCAAGGTTAGGACAGAAATGACACAAGTCAGAAAGTTTTCAATAAAAATAAAAAGTATGTATCTCCTGCTGCTTTGGCCCATATGAATTAAAGATGATTTTCTGAAATCAGCAAGGGAGGGTGCTGCCTAAAATAATGTGTTTTGAAACAAAATAATAACAATTTATTTCTCCTTTTGGTCTCAACTTTTGCATATTTATGCATATACATAACATTAAGTACATGTATATTAA